AAGATCAACTGAAATTAAGTGAATTTTAATTAAAGAGGAGAGTGATAGTGTTCATCATAATGGTTCTTTTATTGACACCACACGTTTTATTAATTAGTGGATACATTCATACAATAGTGTGTTTTGTTTTATATACAAAATTTGATTTGATAAGAGATCTAAGAAGAAAATATGTTTTGTTAACAATATTAACATAGTCAGGGAAGTTGTTAATTTATTTTATTGTATCCCTATTTCTGAGTCTTGTAATTCTTTAACGACAACTAAAGTATAATAACCAGGATCGCTATAATTGTATTCCTGAGATGATATTATCTCCTTGTTTGTCTTATCATGGATCAAATGATAATTACAGATTACTGTAAAATTTCTCTCACTAAAACTAATATCTTTAACAGAAACCTCTATCTCAAACTGAGTCTTTTGCGACGTAATTTCTAATGCCTTTATCTCAAAGTCTTTATCTTCCTCCTCTTATGAGTCTCACTAAAAGTAATATATCTTATGATGAATTTTAAACCTCCAAGTTCATCTTCCCACAACTCATAACCCATTTTCTGAATAATCATTGAAGAGACATTTCACAACTTTACCATGAAGTTGAATTAACTTTATTTGTGTAAATAGTAAAGTTGTTGACTGTGTTACTCCAAACATAAGAGCAGGTGAATTGTGATGATTTAATTTCTCAATAAATAATTTTATAATATTTATTTATATTAAAAGATTAAATTTAGAGAAAAAAAGAGGAAAGATAGAGAAGAGAGAAGAGAAAAATAAGCAGTGTAATACTTAAATAAATAAGAGAAAAATAAACTCTGCTAAATTAAAAAATAGAGAGAGAGAGAGAGAGAGAGAGGAGAGAGAGAGAGAGAGAGAGAGAGAGAGAGAGAGAGAGAGAGAGAGAGAGAGAGAGAGAGAGAGAGAGAGAGAGAGGAGAGGAGAGAGAGAGAGAGAGAGAGAGAGAGAGAGAGAGAGAGAGAGAGAGAGAGAGAGAGAGAGAGGAGAGAGAGAGAGAGAGAGAGAGAGAGAGAGAGAGAGAGAGAGAGAGAGAGAGAGAGAGAGAGAGAGAAGAGAGAGAGAGAAAGAGAGAGAGAGAGAGAGAGAGCTTGTCTAGGTTGCAAATATTATGGGATTAAAGTTTGAGATCCAATATAAAAAAAGAGTAATAACTTGTAAGTAGATGTATTATCACCGAAAGCACGAACTTAATTACTTCTTATGTTAGTTAATAATGCTAAAATCAATTTGTTTAATACGATCAAATTTTGTTTGACTCTCACCTAGTGTTAGGGATAAAATTGGTGATATATTTGTAGATAATTTTTTGTTCTTAACTGTTGTACCCCAAAATTTCCCCTCTCATATTTTCCAAGGTCTTCCTCTACATGGTTGGTCACAAACCTTTGCCTAAAGAAAAGGAAATTTGTGAGTGATGTTTTTTAAGTTTCCTTCGATTGGCATCTCCAAAAATGCCTTTCGATTGGCATATCCAAAATACCTTTCAATTGGCATCTCTAAAATGCCTTTCGATTGGCATCTCCAAAATGCCTTTCGATTGACATCTCCAAAATGCCTTTCGATTGGCATCTCCAAAATGCCTTTCGATTAGCATCTACATAGCGCCATTCGATTGGCATGGACAAAGGTCCTTCGACTGACCTGTTTAACAAGGTCTTTCAATTAGCATTTTAACAAGTACCTTTCGATTGGCATGGTAACAGTGTCCTTCGATTGGCATTTCAACAAGGCCTTCAATTGGTATGGACAAAGGCCCTTCGATTAGCATTTCAAAAGGTCCATTTCGAATAAGCTTTTAAAGGGTCCATCCGAAGAACATGCAAAGGTCCACTCGAAGAAGCTTTCAAAGGGTCCATTCGAAGAACATGTAAAGAGCCATTCGAAGGAGCTTCATAAGAGTCATTCGAAAGAGCTTCATCAGAGCCATTCGAAGGAGCTGAGTCAGAGCCATTCGAAGAAAGCCATCAACCCCTTCGAAAGGGAGCATTCGAAGACTAGTTACATATCATTCAAATTCAAAAAAAAGGCAAGATCCCATGTGTTTGGCCAATGTTACAAATTCTCATTCCTGGCTTTCAAACACATAATCAAGGTTGTTTAAACTTTTGCCTTCTTGTCCCCTCTACCCCCTCTACATAAAGAGATCACAAGTGTTACATCAGAGGGGGGGGGGGAGGGAGAACGAAAAGATTAGAGATACGCTGCCCAAAATCCACCAAAGGTTGTCGAAACTTTCGTAAACTTTCCAAGCCAAAGCCGCCCTTCAACAAAAATACCCACATCTAGAAAGTGCCCAAATCGAAAGTTCAATCTACTGGTAAGAGAGGTTAAATTGTCCAATCTTGCATTTGTACAACACATCCATACTTGTTATTACATTCGATTTGTCATCCTAGACAGGATCAAATGGCTTGGGTTTGGCACTCAAGTCATGTTCTTCGTTTGCTAACACTTGCTGCAGATTTAGCCTGAAAAGACCCAACGAGCGCAGGATCGAAGGACCTGGGTTTTGATACCCAGGTCCTGCGCTTTATTTTGCTAACATACTTTTGTAGGTATAGCATCCAAGATCGAAGGAGACACCTTCTCTGGATTGAAGCTGCCCATCGTCCTCCTGGATAGAAGAAGACATATCCTTCCTGGATCGAAGACATTCCCTTTCTCCAGGATCGAAGGGCAATCTCTTTCCCTGGATCGAAGGGCGTTTCCTCCCCAACCCAATCGAAAGAAGGTATCTCCCTTCTGGATCGAAAGAGACACCTCCTCCCTGGATCGAAAGACGATCCCTTTCCCAGGATCGAAGGGCAATCCCCTCCCCTGGATCGAAGGACCCTTTTTTTTCATTTCTTTATTGACTTTTTTATATTTAAATTAACATTAAAATCAAAATCACAAAAACATTATACTAATATTTTTTTCTAATTAAGTTAATTTTGTAAACAAATTAATTAATTATTTTAACATCTTTTTTCTTAAAATTAAAATTAAATAGACTTAGGCCTTATTTTCTTTTATACCAAAAACAACAAAAAGATTTTCTTTTACTTTGCGCGCGTTTATTTAATTTCATATTTTTACTATTATTGTATCTGTTTACTGAGTGTAATAGATAAAATTAGGATATTTACTACTTTATCCCCCATTATCCTTGTATAATGTAAATCCCCTCCCCGAAGTCTTATAATAGCGTAGGATTTACAATTCCCACACTTTAAATTCATGTACATATATTAACTGCTTAGATGTATGCTAATTAGGACTGCATGACAAGATCTTAAAACAAATGGTAGAACACCTAAATATTTAAAGATAAAATAACTGAAACACAACACAATTGCACATAAGCACCTCTAAGGTACGCCCACTTTGGTTGCCTTTACAAAATAGTCACGAGACAGGAACGCTTTAGCAAAGACCCGTAAAATCAAAAGATTATAGTCCCTAGATGATCCTACAGTTGCCTTCTCGGTAAATGATCTAGTCCCTAAAACAGAATTGCTAAAGCATCTCCATAAAATTGCCTTCGTGATTGTAACGTCCCTTCGATTGTCCCTCAAAAATATCCAACGATAGGGCTACCTACTCACTAATAGTAGGATAGCACTGTCTAAAGTAAGAGGAAAATAACAACCTATTCGAGTATAAAAGTAGATAGCTGTTAGAAGTTTGCTCAACTATTTTTGCACTTACACACAAAAACTACTTTTCAAACACTTTGTATACGTTCTCTACTATCTCGAGAAACATTAAAAAGTTCGTCGTTCTAAGGCATTTTCAAAACATTTTCAAACACAAAGCACAAAAGCATCTTGAAAAATGAGCAAACCTCTAAGAGCCCATGGAAAACCACGAATGGAAAGGATGCTAACACCTTCCCTTTCCATAATCTACCCCCCCCCCCTTACTCAGAAAACATCTCAAAAAGGTCTTTTTCTGTTATTTTCACCCTTTCCTTAATTTGGATAAAAGAAAAGATGGCGACGACTCTTGCTTACCGAATATTTGAGAATAAAAAACGCAAAAGCCAGTAAATAACAGTCGATTTTGCCACCGTATCACAGAACTGGCGACTCTGTTGGGGATGGACTCAAAAAGTGGGGTTACCTTAGAGTTAGTTTATTACTTAACTGCTTTGTGTGCTTTGATTGCTTTACTTTTGAGGGCTCTGTTTGGGGTTACTATAGATCCTACACCCGGATCTGGGGAAACGTTTTAGGTAAGTATCAATAGATCGTGGAAACTGTACAGGGTATACTGACACGGTTAAAGTGATGGCTACGTTGATGCGACAATTTGGTTGGTACAAGTTGCCCTTGAGTTAATCAAGGAGAATACGGGGCCGCTGCATGGTGTCATAAAGCATCAAATGATCTTAGAACCTTTAAATGAACAACTTGTCCATTAGGACGTAGCGAGATGGTCGTCTTTGGTGTATTCCCAAAGTCGGCAGATACTCGATGCTACACTCATTGAGACTTGACTCCTGAGTTTTATTTGGTTGTGAGTCAATCGCCTATCAAACGAAGCTTGTGGGAAGGTGTTGTACCCCAATTTTTCCCCTAATATTCCTCTATCATATCATATCAACTCGATCATAACAAGATCACATTAGGGTTGGTTCTTCCTCTTTTTCTATCTCTTATCTTTAAGTTTGCTCTTGAGGAATCTCCAAGCACCTTAGTTGTATATTTTGTATATGTGTTGTTGACTAACTTCTAATCAAAATACAAAAAAATATTTGTCTTTGTATATTTTTGTTTTGTAGGTACCAAGTCGAAGCATATGA